TCCGGTCCTCATTGTCTGGTTGCTCTTTTTTGGCTGGAGCCGGCTAGACAGCTGCTGCTGCCTTTGGATTTGACTCCTCCCAGGGCCCGTCATCCTTCGTTTCGGAGCTGCTGCTCAGACTGTCATAATCAGCCTCATCATCATCACGGGTGTCACGTCCTGGCAGCCAGGAAGTAGATGAATGTTTATGTTTGTCAATGTGACTGCGGCTGATAATGCGCCTAGATCTGGCTTTGCCATCTGGGTTAGCAGTGATCAATTGCGCCCAGGTTAGGCTATTATTTGGCCGCCTGGGTTGGCAATTGAACTGCGCCCAGATTAGGCTACGCCATCTAGAGTGGCAAGAGCCTTGAAAACATTGTGTTATTCCTCTGGGATAATATGTCTTCAACAAAAAGTATACCCTGCGGCTGCGCATGCTCAGTCCTCTTGAAGCAGGCATGAGTAGGCGGTGCAATATGCCGACAAGGATGACGGCTACGTATAACATCAAGGGGCTGCAGGCATGCAAAGGACATTTCAAATCCATTCCGAATCAACAATTTTCAAGCCGTGTGAGAGACCACGGCAAAACATTGACATATACTCAGAATCGTCGAAGTCACCGCCACTTGTGTGTGGCGAGGTTACCCCCCATGGAACGCAGTCCATCCACGAAGTCAAAAAGTCACTGCCAAAATTTGCCTGCATGTCAATCCTCATGGAACGCAGTATGCAACAACTCACCCTAAACTTGGCGCCAGATTGCCGCAAAAGTGCGAAAGATGCATGGAACGCAACATGTCTCAGGCAAAGTTAAAAAATGTCTGCCAAGTTGGAAAGGAGCCAACTCGCATGGAATGGAACCCCTCGTGGTCCTTACCTCCGTGGAATGCAATGTGTTGGAAAGGGGCCAACCGGCATGGAACTCATCATGCGCCAATAATCAAAAACCAATAGAAGTGCTTGAAGAAGCCCACCCGCATGGGACTCATCATGCTGCGTGTGAAGCGCGACATCCCTGCGCGGAGCACTGTTTCACTTCACCTTGGCAATCTTCAGCCCTTGGTGGGCTTTGGTTCCTAGGTACCATGCATTGCGCCCCTTCGAGGTGCTGACCTTGCTCTGAAAACTAGCCTGATCGAAATCCATGCAGGCCTCATCACAATCCGTAATCCGCTTAATCCTCGTTCTGGTTGGTACTCTTCTTAATCCGTAATCCGCGCTACAAGTGGCGGGTCCAACACGTATGTTGGAGCATGGGAAATCCATGCAACCCATAATCCGTAATCCGCAAACCGCACAATCTAATCCGCAAACCGCACAATCCGCAATCCGAAACAGTTGGGGATTAGGTATTGAAGAAAGTAGGAAAAAGCTTGTGCAAAACCCACACGCGCACACGCGTGCACGCGCACACGCGTACACGCGCACATGCACACACGCACACACGCACACGCACACACGCACACGCGCACACACACACACACGCACACACACGCACACACGCACACACGCACACACACACACACACACACACACGACACCACACACCACACCCACGCACACACACACACACACACACCCGCGCCACACCACAGAAACAAAAAAACAAGGACCACCGCAACGACGCGGAGGACAACGACGACAACAGGAAAACCAAAGCCACCTCCCGCAACAGCCGCAGCAGCAACAGAAACAGCAGCAGCAACAGCAACAGCACCGGCAGCAGCAGGAGCAGCAGCATCAACAGCAACAGCAGCCGCAGCAGCCGCAGCAGCAGCAGCAGAAACAGCAGCAGCACCAGCAGCAGCAACAGCACCAGCAGCAGCAGCAGCAGCAGCAGCAACAGCAACAGCAGCCGCAGCAGCAGCAGCACCAGCAGCAGGACCAGCAGCAGCAGCAGCAGCCGCAGCAGCAGCAACACAAGACACCGGGCCGAGGCGCAGGAGCTGCTTCATGATCTTGGTGTCCGCGGTGTAGGACCTGAGCCGGCAAGGGGAAACAACACACGACGCGCGACAACGCGAAAGGAAGCCGCAACAACAGAAAAGAACAACGCCGCGAACAACGAGAACTACGACAACAGCAAAAACAGCCAGCCAGCAGAAGCAGCAACCGCAGCAGCAGCAGTAGCAGCAGTAGCAGCGACACCGACAGACCCGCGAAGAAAAACGAACCGCCGACACAAAGAACAGACCAGCAAACACCGGGCCGAGGCGCAGGAGCTTCTCCCCGAACTTGGTGTCCACGGTGTAGGACCTGAGCCAGCAGGCGAAAAAAAGGACGAGCCCGCAGCGACAACAAGGGCGAGGACGACCAACAACCAACAAAGAAACAAAAACAAAGGCAACAAAGGCGCGTGCCAAGCCAAAGAACATGTGCGCACAAGCACCCACACACACACCAACACACACACACACCCGCGCACACGCACACACACACACACACACACACACGCACACCCACACACACACCCCCGCGCGCACGTGCGCGCACACCGCGCCAGGAGCAGAAATCATAAGCAACAAAGCGATCGTGGAGAGCACTGTGTGCTTTGCACTCTCTTCAAACGTGCTCATGTAGGAAGTTCAGATCCCAACCCGCCAACTCGAGGCATTCAGAAACCATGCCCTCAGAACGCGCCTCTGGAGCGCACTCCAACTCTGAATGCGGCCTTTTCGCTGGCGTGCGATCGTCGGACATTTCTGCCAAAGCGTCTGGGAGCTGTTCAGCCCATGGCCACGGAACGCAAATCCCAATGGCCCACAACATCTACGCGAAACTACTCCGCACCCAATTTCAGCACCATTGAAAACACTCGATTTCAAACCCCAAAGGTAACGCAAGCGGCCACGACTTTCCCATGTTGGAATCTCACTGCGACGCAAATGCCAACATGAAGCGGCAGCGACTTCAACAAGTCTGAGTATAAATATGCATCAACATTGGTAGTAATATATACATGTAATCGGGTAAGTTTAGTTCGATAAACTTTCGTTGGGGACAAATGCTCATGTTCAGTTGTAATCACGTAAGTTTAGTTGGAAAAAACTTTCCTTGGGGGTAAACGATCATGGTCAGTTTTCACACTGTTCTGCCATTCTGCCAATCACATTATCATACCAATCAAATCATCATGTTGACGGCAGCAACGAATGTCAATCACATCATCATGTCAACCACATCATCGAGTCGTTCGAAAAAACATATGTTGCGGCAGTCCGCCTACTGCATGGTTAGGCGCCCTCCCATGGACAAAGCTGGGTTTTGAAAGATAGGGGTATGTTGCCCTCAAATCATCATAAACCACACATACTAGTGTTTATTTCAAGTGATCCCCACCGTCTAACATATATTCTGACATTCGGATTGACATTTGATCTCACATATAGTCTGACCTTCTGTCTGACATAAATTCTGACATGGGCACTACCGGACTTCAACCGCCAGCACCAAATCTCAGTAGAACAATATATGCATGTGGTTCCACAGGATATCAGGGTATCTCCATTAAATCCACCCGTCCCTCCTGCTTTGGCTGATGTTGGCGGTTGTCTCTATTTCAATCAGCACACACAGATGTACATCTGTGATGAAACAATGTGAGAGTGCAATTGTTGATGCCTAATGATGGTGGTCACATCATCATCACTATCCCAGCCAAGATGCTAAACCAATGGCAAAAGAGCCAGAAAAAATCTGTTTGTAACCGAAAAAAATCTGAATGAAAAGATTGAGCCTTGGGTTCAGGCCCCAGGAGAAGGGGCGCGGCGTGTTGTTGGACTGCGCCTGAACGCGGAAGCCGGACTGCGAGGAGGCGCGGCTGCTTGCGGGGCTGCCTGACGTGCTGCTGCCGGTGCGCAGCGAGAAGTGCTGAGGCTGCGTGGCGTCGTTCTTATTTCCGTTTGCCTCAGCTCCACTTGCACTACGAAAGAAACATGTCACAGCAACCGTCATCAAGACCAGCAGCAACATAAACATAAAAAAGGCAGGGCGCTGCACCCCCAGCACTCAGAGCTCGAGCCAACCATAAAAGATGCACGCACTCGACACACCCTATTTTCCAGCGACGGGGGTAGTGTCCCTGACCACGAAACAAGAAAACAACACACAACCCAAAAACCCGGTTCCTAACTCAGAGAAACCTAGTCTTCACAAAGACGGCTGCCCTTGCAGCGAGGGTTGAGGTGTTGTATGAATCGTGGGACTCGCGGGGTAGGGCGGGACCCACCCACCCTAGCCGAAAAAATTGCGCGGCCACAAAAAGATGCACTCATCCATGCACGACTTCTCTCAAGTCAAGCTCGTTCGGTAAAACAAGCTCGTGTTACACGTGCAGCTGTTGGACCGCTGTTTGCCATCAAACAATTTGTTCGCGTTTTCAGCTCAATGAAAAGAACCATGACAAGTGGCCTACACCCTCTTGCACATGGTAGACAGCTCATGCAATCCTCGCCTGTTTTGTTGCTCACAGCAAAACATAAAACACCAGCCGCAAATCCAAAAAGGTTGCAGTCCCAAACACTGCGTCGGTTCACAAACCGGGGACGAGCCTGTTTCCCAAAACAGGTACGCCCTTAGGACGCCAGCGTGTCAAACGACCGTAGTGCTAATAGGCGGGGCCCCCCCCCCTGGATCACAGAGGCTTGGGAAATAAAGCGCTATCACTAAAGTGAGGGCTAACTTATTTCCGTTTGCCTCAGCTCCACTTGCACTACGAAAGAAAACATGTCACAGCATCCGTCATCAAGACCAGCAGCAACATAAACATAAAAAGGCAGGGCGCTGCACCCCCAGCACTCAGAGCTCGAGCCAACCATAAAAGATGCACGCACTCGACACACCCTATTTTCCAGCGACGGGGGTAGTGTCCCTGACCACGAAACAAGAAAACAACACACAACCCAAAACCCGGTTCCTAACTCAGAGAAACCTAGTCTTCACAAAGACGGCTGCCCTTGCAGCGAGGGTTGAGGTGTTGTATGAATCGTGGGACTCGCACCACCCCCTTTTTACTTTTACGCGAACACACCCTCGTAGCACGGCTCCACTTGCTTCCACCCTTGGTAGCAGCCGAACTCCAGGCGAGAAGCAGCATCCGAAAAGTTGCTCTTAGATGGAACTCTGGCATACCAGTTCCACAGCTCGAGTCGTACATCTAACCTGGCATTTGCCCACAGGAGCTTCACACTCTGCAACACTGGAGAGAAGGATCGGATAAATGCAGCCCGTGCTGATTCGTTGTCAATGAACCAGATAACCTTGCGCTTGGCGAGGTAACCCGCCCATGTGGCTTTTGCTAGAACCACCGGGTAGATCTCTGCTTGACCAATGAGCTGGCGAGAGCCAGATGATGCCCACTCCGTCACAAGCGCTTCAGGAATCACGCCACCGAAGAATTCCCTCACTGAATGCAAGGGATCACACAGCACTGCCCCGTGGGTGACCAGTTTGCCCTCTTGCTCACAAGCCCCATCCGTAAATACGATGACAGGAGGCTCACAACCCATTGGTCTCAAAACCCGGGGCCGCGCCGCCGCTAGGACGTCCACCACTTCCAGCACCCCTCTGTTGATCCTGTTTGATTCGGGCGGCCTGCCTGCCGAGAAGCTGCACCGCAAGCTGCGTTGCCTTTCCAAAAGTATGACCCGCAGCATACAGAAGTTTCCCCTTAAGGGATGCCAGATCAGCATCCGTGAGCCCGCCCTTCTGACACTCCTCGCAGGCTCGTCGGATCGAAGAAATCCGGTCGGGCTTGTTCTCGACCGCAACCAGGCCTTCGGTGGATCCCTCGAAGGACATCACGGCCCCCAGAATCTGAAACTTCTTCTCGAATGGGAAACGTTTGGCGTCCCCCATCGAGATCTTCCATCCCAAAAGCTGCATCACCATCTCCGACACCGTAAGGCAGTTCTGGCAAAGAGGCTCACCCTCCACCGTGCAAAAATCGTCGAAGAAGTTTGTGGCTGCAATGCGGAATAGTTTGCACACAATGTCCCTCAGGGCTCGGGCCGCTCGGTTGAAGGAAATCACAGCGCTGACCGCGCCAAAAGGTAAGGCAACAGACTCAAAGAAAACCGTCTTCTTCTCAGCTGGCGACCACACTGCAATGACTGACGCCCAAGCATGCTCAGGGCTCCTTGCCAGCTGTTTGTAGGCCGCCTTCAAGTCTAGGCACCTGCCCTTTAAGACCGGGAAAGGCTGGCCCTTGGACTCCGACACTGACAGCCAAAACCTGGCCAAGGCGACAATGTCATCTAGCCCTTCCAACACAAGCTTCTCGCTGGTGGCTGTGGCTTCATTCAGAAGGAACTCACTGAAGTCGTCCACACAACGAATCTTGTCCACGCCCTGCTTCACCCCGAACCGGCGGGATGGAATCCAAACCCCGCTGTTTCTGACATCTAAGTCAGCCTCGGTGAAGGGTCCCTTCAACCACCCTCGCTGCAACTGATCTTGAGTCTCACTCCACACAGCATCTGCAATCTGCTGGTCCGCGGCTCCCTTGGCACACGAAGACAAAGCAGCCTTTCTTGCCCAGTGGGATGTTTTCTTCAGCGATTCCAATGTCAACCTAGCCGGCTTCCATCGTTTCGGAAATTGGCCGGAGGGCTCCAAGTGGCCCACCAACGGAAACCCATCCACCATGTGTTGAAACAAAAATGGGTCCGCCACGCCAGCGTCCTCCATCATAGCTTTGAAAAGCAGCAGCCTTTTACCTTGTAAAACCGGTTCCAAATCGGGGTGCAGTCCCTCGTGCAAACGGGCCTCGTCTGATGACAACTCCACGGCCAGGCGCAGGTACTTTCGTAGCTGTCCCAGCCTCCACTCTGCAGCATCGGCAGGGGACACACTGGAGATCCAATTGATGGTGCATCTGTTCTGCTCAGAGACAATCAAAGGGTTGTCGAAGGGGTGGGTCAGCTGTAAAGCATCCTGCAAAAACTTCTCAGGCGATCGGTGTACCCCAAAAGTCACGGCTTGTAGGGGGCCACCAGGCTCAGCATCACGAGGCCTCTTCGCCCCCTTCATTGTGCACCCATCTCCCCCCTTTTCCGCAGGACCTGCACCAATGAACACTGCTCCAGGCGGGACCCGCGACCACGGGCCCGAGGGGCTGGTCGCGACAGCCGGCGGCTTTTCGCCGGCAGAGACCAGGACCTGCACGGTGTATTGAAACTCTGAAAGGAGCGTAGGCGCCTGCAAACCTCTGGGTTGTTTGAAATTTGCTAACGCAATGGCACTGTCCTGCAAAGTTGGGCACGCCTCAAAATTTCTGCCACGTCTTCTCAGCTCTTGTAAAATGCAGTCCACAGTGTGCTTGCACAAGAGCGAGGGATACTCTGCCTCCTGTGAGGTCATAAACTGCACTTTGCCCTGAGGTCCGCGCAGTTTCCAAGGCAAGTGTGCGTGAGAGCGGTCACATCTGACACACAAAGCGGACAAATCAAAGTTCGCCAGAAAAGCTGTCTTCTTTGGTCTGCGTCCACCATGCATGCAACTGTCAAAGCCAAACAGTGAAAAACCAGCCTGCTTGAGACATGCAAATTCGGGAAGCAACCACATCAAGGACGACTCAGGGTTTTCAATTATGGCCAGGGCCCCTGCGTGATGCGCCGCTAAAGCTGCCACACTGCAAAAGGAGTACAGGCCGTTCGCGGCAGATACACGGACGGCGTTGAGTCCTCGAATCCATGGCAAGCCATACGGATGCTTAGGCGATCTCAAAGGTTTCGGAGCCCATGGCACGCCCGGGACCCTAATGTTCCGAGCGGCGCTTGCTGTGCCACACGGAGGAGCAGCAAAAAGCACGTCAATCCGCCCTTGCGAAATTTCCTCCAGCACAGATTTCTGGTGCTCCGGGTCCAATAAATCCATTTTGGACACCGCTGCTTTGACTCGTGCTTTGTCCACAAAATGATCCACTCCCAAAGCATGCATGCCCGCTGCTTTGGCTCGCGCCGTCATGCCAGCTGTTCCGCAAAAAATCTCAAGGAAATGAGGCCGCCAACCACTCTTAGCATCAGTGGCTTTCCATGTGCCGGCTGGCGGTTCGCAAGGAAACCGTGTCTGCTCACCCATTGGTTCTGACAGCGGATCCTCTGCGGGGGAAAAATTCGCATCGGTAGAAACATGGGCCCTTCGGCCCTTGGACGCCGGCTTTTCCGGCTGGTGAAAAAAGGGGCTGTCCCCTGCTGTCTCGGGCAGGCTGCCTTCAGCAATCTGCTCCGGCTCACCGGCACCCCAGGTAACTGCACGCTCTCGTACCGAACCCGTGGCGCCCCTTGGCATCCCCGCCGAGCCAGCCGTCTGGCTTTGTCAGCTGTGCTGCAAGAAACCGTGCGCCTTGCTGAAGCATCCGGGGTAGCAGCACACATGCTTCCTAGGACAGTTCTCGTCCACACACTGCCCAAGGTTGAACGCGAAACAAATGGCATTTCCGCTTTCGTCAGTGGGGGTACCCCCGCGAAGCTTCTCCGGCATAGGGAAGCGGCTGCCCTTGCTGCCGGACTTGCCCTTGAGCGCACCTTTGCGTTTCTGTGGCTTGACCACCTGCTTCGGTGGCGGCGCTACCGGCTTCTGCTGAGCAGGCGGCTTGCCTTTGGGGAGTGTCGAGCTCGCCTTCTGAGCCGGTCTCTGCATGAGCACCCATTGAAACGATGGCAATCGCAGCACTTCGTCAACGAACTGATCCAGCGGCAGTTCCCCCAGCGGCCCCGGCGCGAGGCCCGCACGGGTCTTATCCGCCAACTTCTCATGAAACTCTCGGTCTGCAAGGCAAAGCTGGGTCATTGTCACCTTCGAGAACCCATCTTGGGCCGGCCTCTGCAACTCCTCAAACAAACGGGCAACCAGTTTTTCGTGAGACACGAAGGACATGGCGGCTGCCGCCTCATAGGCTATTCCGCGCCTTCGCAGAGCATTCTGAAGATCCAACTCCGTCGCCAGCTCTGCTTTCAAAGCTGGCTCCTGTGAAACCTCATGGATGACACCGTTCTTGTCCGGCTTCCACGACTTGAACTGGTTTGCCTCCGTGAGCCCTTGGATCTCCTGGACCCGGGTGGTGCACTTGGACCATTCGAAATATCTCCACCGGCCATCCTCAACGCTCTGATTCACTGCATTCAGGAGCGCGTGTGACGGCTCAAGCTGCCTCTCAATCAGGAGCGGCTTCACCTTATCCCGAATGGCATCCAACCTATGAGCTATCTCAAGGGCAGGCAGCTTCTTTGGAGCATCACCCTCGTTGGACTCGACCCTCCGCTTGAGGTCTGCAGCATTCATAGTGAAACTCTCAAAAGCGAGCCTTCGGAGCTTCGGTCCGTCTGCGTGGTCCGGGTCCCCCAGGACGGGCTCAATCACCCTTGTGACAAACAACGTCTCTGCGGCCTCCGAACTTCCCGGCAAGCTCGGGACACAAAACGCAAAAGTGGCATAGGTGTTCCAACCCTTTTCTGCCAGCTTGGTGACTGCCTCTGCCGTCAACCCCACTGCCCGGCACCTCGCCGCGAAAACCGGGGCGCTGTCGACCAGGGACATGGCAGTTGAAAGCCTAGTGAAAACTCCTTTAGCTGCACGACAAAACTGCGGGACGTCAAACAACTCTCAAAAACAAGTGCACCCCCGCCAGCAGGCTAGTCTGTGCAACTGACATGCAACTGCTCACGCAAACGACCGCATCACTTGCACTGCCCAAAAGGGACACCAGGAGACACCCCAAAACGGGCCCCCAAAAGAAAACCCAACCCAAAAAGGGGGAACCCGCGGGGGACCGACTCCCTTTTAGCGCAACGATGACACGGCCTCGGATGCAGTCCTTGCTTCAAAATTCCGGGGGGGACCCCCAACTCGCGTTCTTTGACTCTTTGTCACTGCCGCTGTCGACAGGGGAAACACTTGGCACATTTCCTCATAATCTGCTCCGGAAACAAATCAACCTTCCGAAAACCTGCCGAAGCAATAAGCCCACATTTCGAGACTTCCATCTCTCCATCCTCGTCGCCATACGTGCCTGGCCGAGGAATATGGGCCACTTGAGACTTGACATTCAACAAGTAGAAAGCCATGTCTTCCTGTACCAACTGGGCAGGCGCTGCTAAAACGGTCCGCCCTCACGACCTCGTCATCTACTTCCTCACCTTCTGACGAAGAAGAGCTGGTTGACTTACCAGACGAATCCCCTGACGAACTGCCTTCACCGGTAGGCTCGCTGTCCACCGGAAGTGAGGGGGCGGCTGCCAACACCTTGACCGCATCCTCCAAGTTGTAGCACCCATTCCAGCGGCCTGAGCGGCTGGCGTCCGGCGAGAACAATCCACCCCGAATAGCCAGGTATAGGCCGCTCAAGGCGTGCAGCACGGGGCTCTGGGCATCCCTAGAATACTCAGTCATGGATCGGTCACCCGGAGCAACATGGTAACCTCCAAGCCGGCGAATGTGCCTGTCCACGTTTGCCTTCGCCATCCAGCTGAGGGCCGTAGCCTTGCAGGAGTGAGTGCCGACGTCGCCCTGGGCATCCTGGAGAACCTCTTTCATCCACACTATGGCTTCGGCTATTCCCAACGGAATTGAATCCCATTTTCCGCTTGCAAGCGGGGCAGGCATCATGGGGCGCCCCCTCTTAGCCCTGAGGCCATGCTTTGCTCTATTCTGGAGCCATGCCTGCGCCCAGCAGAGCCCCGAGACACCAAGCAAAGAGCAAGCTGCTGGCAATAACCGACGTATCACAGATTTCTGCCTGTTCGCCGTCTTGTGGTAATACAAGCCAGCTTCGAGCGACCCAGCCCCATCAGGACATGTGTCAATAGTTGGTTCTTCTGCAACATATTGGCCATCGCTCCATCTCAGCCTGCCGTGCACCAGAAAGCACAAGTACCCGCAGAATACTCCCGTCGCAGACTCGTCAGTGGACGCCCTCCTCTCTAGATCCGCAACTTGAGCCACTGTGAGAGGCCTTTTCTTCCGAACCACCCGGTGCCCCTCGATTGGAATGGTAGCACCTTTGATCCGGCTAGACGCGAGCACATTGTCCACATCCGCCTGCAGTGTCCCCTTGCAGAAAGCTAGAGCTTGCACAAAGCGCTCCGCCTTTGTAGGTGGGGACCTGGTGTCCCGTAAAAAGCACAGATACTCATACACGACCACCTCTTTGACTGGAAAAAGTGTAAAAGTCCGTCCATGCTCCGCCCTGCCCCACCGCATGTAAGCAAGCAAAGCTGAAGCTCTTGCCCGCAAGGTGGCTGTTGCCTTGGCCCTGAAAATATCCGCTAAGACGCTCAGCTGACCATCCTGATCTTCCTGATGAATCAACGTGCCCGCAACTGATGCACGGGGGTTGTCAAGCACAAGGAGCACCCATGCATCGAGCGACCTTTTCCGATCTTCATCCAAGACAACCTCCCACTGCTTGGACTCCGTTTGGCGCATCCATGACGATGTCTTTCTGACTTTGGACTCATCACGGAATAACAGATCCGTTCCCTTATCCTGCTCACTAGGCCTCTTGCGTGGCATAGGAACAAAAGGGGCCGTTCGAATCGTTTGCTCACCAAACCCAAAGACCGGGGCCAACCGCTCGTCACACCAAGGAAACTGAAAGCCAGGGCCCAGACGTGATGTAGATGTATACCCCATCGCCTGCAGCAACAGCACCTCATCGTTCCCTGAGCTGAAAACCGGACAGTTGTGAGCACCATTCATGCCAGAAGACCCACTGGCCGGTGAAGCGCTCTCCATTGAGCCATGTTTAACAGAAGAACATTCCGGGCCAAGACTTCCAGCCTTGGTAGTCCGCCTGGTATCGCTTCCTGAACCGCGAGAACACAATGGAGGGCCTACCACCGGTGCAGCGCTAGGGTCTGTGATGACTGAGAATTCTCCACTGCCGGCTCCATCAGACTCAAAAACTTCCCCCACTTCTTCAACCATGAGCTGATTCTATGGATGCAAAGCAACCACCTTGGAAAGGCGAGTCAGAAAAACTCGACTATACCGCAATTGCAAAAGCATACCCAGACCATGAAATATAGATTGAAACTGACGGGCGCGAAAAATATGGCGCACCAAGCGCGCCCAAGCCAGCTGTAACCAATCTCTGCGACGCCTGGCTGTAAATGCAAAGCGTCGTGAACAGGTCTGTCCCATAGCGAGCTCAATGAAACAGGGGCCCACCCACCCACCCTAGCCGAAAAAATTGCGCGGCCACAAAAAGATGCACTCATCCATGCACGACTTCTCTCAAGTCAAGCTCGTTCGGTAAAACAAGCTCGTGTTACACGTGCAGCTGTTGGTTTGCCATCAAACAATTTGTTCGCGTTTTCAGCTCAATGAAAAGAACCATGACAAGTGGCCTACACCCTCTTGCACATGGTAGACAGCTCATGCAATCCTCGCCTGTTTTGTTGCTCACAGCAAAACATAAAACACCAGCCGCAAATCCAAAAAGGTTGCAGTCCCAAACACTGCGTCGGTTCACAAACCGGGGACGAGCCTGTTTCCCAAAACAGGTACGCCCTTAGGACGCCAGCGTGTCAAACGACCGTAGTGCTAATAGGCGGGGCCCCCCCCCCCTGGATCACAGAGGCTTGGGAAATAAAGCGCTATCACTAAAGTGAGGGCTAACATGCCGTTGGCGGACCGGACGTCCTGCACGGCCGCGTCCTCGCTGCCCTGCTGGGGCCGGAAGAGCGTGTTCTCGAGGACCCAGCCCGTGCCGCGCGCGAGGCCGTAGGCTGCGCCGCCTGC